GTCTCCCTCGCAATCAATGTCCTATTTCAAGTATTCACTAAGTCCTATCAATTTGGATCCTAAATATGATTTGGATCCTGCAGTCCTGGTGACTGCCCCCGCCCTGGGCCAAGGCACCATAGACTATTGCAATATCCTCTCAAAGGCACCTACCTTGTTCACTCCTGCCTTCCATTCTGTTGCCCACACTGCAACTAGAGTAGCTTTATCATTATTTTTTTCTTTTTCTTTTTTCTTTTTTTAAGATTTTATTTATTTGACAGACGGTGAGAGAGGGAACATAAGCAAGGGGAGTGGGAGAGGGAGAAGCTGGCTTTCTGCTGAGCAGGCAGCCCGACACAGGGCTGATCACAGGACTCTGGGATCATGACCCGAGCTGAGGGCAGATGCCTAACAACTGAGCCACCCAGGCACCCCCAGAGAAGCCTTTTTAAAATGTTAATCTGAATCTACCCACCCACCTACCTCTCTACACACATTCCTACTCCAGCCCTAAATCATTCAGTGATGCTGCCTGTCTTTCCCCATCACTCTCTCTACTCCACAGACTTACTGGCTTTTCTGTTCTCAAAAGCACCATGTTCTCTCCACCCCAGGGCCTTTGCATGTGTTGTCCCCTCAGCTTTGTGTTCTCACTGTCCCTCTTTGCTTACATAGCTTCGTTCAGCCTTAGGGGAAGTCTTCCCTGACCACTTTGCAACCCCCCCCCCCCACTCAGTTTAGGTCTAGATCCATTGTTCCACATTCCTACAGCAGCATTTCGCTCTTTCCTCATTGTCATCTCAGGCTGTGTGCATATTTGGGGATTACTCATTTGTTGTTGAAACTCCTCTTCCCCTTGAAACTGTAAGGTCCGCAAATGGGAACAATGTGTCTATTTTTGCTCACCATTATATCCCTAAAGCCTTGTATATTGCCTGGAACATAGCAGGCACTTTATAGGTACTTGTTGAATGATGGTAATGAGCACATACAATCCTACCAACAAGCTTCTGAGAATTTCACCTGAGGCCAGTGCCCTGCTCTGACCCTCTACAGCACCTGCTTTCATGGCATTATAAGATGGAGAGCAGTAGACTTGAAAGACATAAAGGGCTCTGGAACCTGACTGGGTTCAAATCTTCCCTCTGATACTTCCCAGATATGGGACATTGGGCAAATTCTTTAACTTCTGTGTTTTAGTTTCTTCTTCTGTAAAATACCAGTAATAATAGTACCTGTCTTGTGGGGTGGTTGTAAGGATCCAATAAGTGAGCTTCTAGAACATACTATTGGAAGGTCTTGGTGCATAACGAGTGCCCCACTAATCTTAGTTATTATTAATATAATTAATAGAAGGAGCACAGATTCTGGGAGTAGATGAATCTTGTTTTCTGTCATATTTGCAAATCATTCCCTGTGTGACTTTGCATAAATCGTGTCACACCCCTGAGCCTCAATTTCTCCATCAGGATCTCAAGGCCTACTTCAGAGAGAGCTATCATGAGGGCCTGATAGGATGAGATATGAAGAACGCAGACCAGGGGCACCTGGGTGGCTCCGTGGGTTAAGCCTCTGCCTTCGGCTTGGGTCATGATCTCAGGGTCCTGGGATTGAGCCTTGCATCGGGCTCTCTGCTTAGCAGGGAGCCTGCTTCCCCCTCTCTCTCTGCCTGCCTTTCTGCCTACTTGTGATCTCTGTCTGTCAAATAAATAAGTAACATCTTTAAAAAAAAAAAGACGTTATTTATTTATTTGAGAGAGGGAGAGTCAAAGAGAGAGCTTGAGTCAGGGGGAGGGTTAGAGGGCGAAGCAGACTTCCTGCTGAGCAGGTTGCCGGATATGGGGCTTGAGCCCAGGACCTAGGATCATGAACTGATGAAGGCAGACACTTAGCCATCCAGGTTAAGTGGGTGGTTGAGCCACCCAGGCACCCTTCAATAAATAGATCTTTATTGAATAAATGAATCAATAATGGCAGGGACCATGCTTTGTCCATATTTGTGTCCAACCTGAGACTAGTGAAATACCTAGCATCTAAGTTCAATAAAAGTTTGTTGACAGAACAGATTTTTTAAATGCCTTTTCATTTCTGTTTCCCCGCCCCATTTGAATTTCTAAATTAAACTGAGAAAGATACTTGTTAACTTAGCCTATACCTCTCTAGCCTTAGTCTTCTTATCTATAAAATGAGGCTATAAATAAAATCCACCACATAAGAGTGTTCTGAAAAGTAAACAAAGCAATATATATTTGGCACACAGAAAATGTTAGTTCATTATTATTCCCTTTCCTGAGCCTCAATTTCCTCATCTGTGAAATGGGCACCCACGCACTCATTCGTTCATTGATTATTCAACAAACACAGTGCTGATGTGCAAGGCATTGTAATTAAGACCTAGGGCGGTTAGAGAGATGAACAAGCCATGGTCCCTGTCGTGAGGCACTGTCTGCTTCGGGACTGTATATAAATAGAAAAACCCAGTGATAAAAAAGTCAAGGTATGTGTGAGGTCTACAGAAGCTGGGATAGGGGCCCACAGGGTTTCAGTGAGCTCTTGAGGGAAAGTGAAAAAGTTACCAACTCAGTGTAACCACCAACATGACATCAATCTGAAATGGATTTGATCTCTCTGGGTTTTGGTTTTTGTAGCCTGGGTCTGTGGAATGTGCCAGTTTTGCTGCAGCTCCACTTTCTACCTCGGCTCACCAGATATGAGAGGCTGGTTCAGGTGTCGCAATCCCTCTGAGCATCCAGTTCAAACAGATGTACCCTTCCAAGACTCAGCCTTGCCTTCCTCCCCTTCCCGCTGGAACCTACCTTCTCAGGGGACTGAACAGTGATTCCCTTATACTCTCAACGTGGAACAACGGGGTGCCTCCAAGGAATGCTGGGCTCCTGGTTCTCCAAAGACAAGCCTGCCTCTTCCCGGGGTGGGACCCAGTGAGAGGATGCTTGGGCACTGGGAATAGGGACAGGCCAGGCCACGTGTCTGAGTTCCCGAATCTAAGGGGATCCCATGTTTGACTCTGATGTTCCCAGCTGGTTCCAGGGAACTGACTCCTGCCAATCAAACTAATGAAGGATTGAAACATCTGAATTAGAATTTTACATTCAAGCTAGGTGCAACTTGCTGGGTTGGGTGGGACTATCCGTCTCCAGTCGCCAACGTATTTGCACCTGTTACCCAGAGCAGTCTTTTACTATCAGGGGAGGGTCTGCTGTCAGTGGCTTGCCAGAGGGAGAAGGATGTCTGAGTCCCAGTGGCCCATCCTAGCAGGCCTCAGGGAAGAAGTAAGATTTATGAGGTGGGAGCCCGCCTGGGCTGCTTCTTCTAACCGTAAAGGCCTCCCTGCAGTATTTTCTGTCTCGTCAACGCTGCATTTCATTTTAAATTGCAGCTGAAAGCAGATATTTTCCCTCTTGCCTATTACACCTCTTAATTTGTCTCTCCCTCTGCTGTTATTTGTCTCTATAAAGTGTTTTGCATGAAAGTCCTACACAGCACAATGTTGCTTTGCCCTGGGTTAGCTTTAACAGGAAGGGAAAGCACATAGAGGCTTAAGTCCAAGGACGAAGGTGTGAGAGAGGGCCTTGGAGTTGAGACGCACACAGGTCTGGGAATATATGGCTGGCAGTGGGTACGTGTGCATGTTTTTGGACCTGTTGTGGGTCAGTGGGTATGTGTGTACACAAGTCAATATTCGTACTGATACGTTTAGATGTCTATGAATGCTCCGGTGTAATCACCTGATGTCCGTACCTAAATTAAGTGTATGTGTGCAAGTACTCACTCACATTCAATCCCCGAGCGCGTATGTATCTATGCATAGGAGCACACATGTGCACAGAAACACGCGGGCATCTAGGTATGCATGTCACATGATGCGTGTGGTCTGCACACAGGACCAGGGTTCTCTCTTCTCTGCCCTCACCTCGCATCTCTCCCTCCCCCACCCAGGGACCCTAGTCCAGTTTGGGGCTGTGGGAAAAGGAAGGCAGAGCTGGTTGGTGGGGGTCCAGTGGAAACACTGCCTTAGCCTGGTCCAACAGCGGCTACTGCTCCCCGGCTTGGCTCCAGCCACCTTTTCCTTAGCCTGGCACAGCAGCACCACCACGGCTTCTGCAGAAGCTCTGGGGACCCCTGGGCAGGCCCCCAGCTCCCTGCCAATCCTGGACTGGCACAGAGGGGTGACAGCGGTTCATGAACAATGGCCAGAGCCCTTCAGACTAGCCGGGTCTCCTGCCCCCACCCGTAGGCCAACGACCCTAGCGGAGCGGGTGGGGGGGGGCAGGCAAGAGGGCCTCGCGGTTGCTCCCGGTCCAGCGAACGCTGGCCACTAACCAATGGGCGACTGCAGCCCAACGGGGATCCCTCCGAGGCAGCCAATGACCTCGCTGCGCTCTCCACCCCGCCCTCGCCAACTCCGCGCAGCTGGACCATTGGTGCTGGTGGGATGGGGGGAGTGTGCGCGGCGCTGGCCACTTGAGGGAGGGGGCGTGGCTTGGAGTCCCCTTGCCTCTCCCCACCCGCGCTTAGGCCCCGCGCTCTCTACCCACCGACGCGAGGCCATTGGCCTGGCTGCGGCGCCGCGGCGGAGGTGGACCGCGGGGCGCGCGCAGTGGGCGTGGCCCGAGGGCGTGGCCCGGAGGGAGGCGGGGCCGCGGGCGCTGTCTCAGTGAAAGCGGAGCTGCGGCGGCGGCGGCGGAGGCGTCCGGGCGGGTGTACGCGAGTGTGGGCGCAGGCTCGGAGGCTGCAGCGGCGGCGGCGGCTCAGCCTGCGGCGGCGGCAGCGGCCCGTCTGGAGCGGCCGCTGAGAGGACGCCAGCTGCAACGGGAGAGGTGCAGCCGGGGCTGCGCGCTCCGCGGAGCCGGCGGGGGCCGGGAACAGGTGATCCCCGCGGGTTGCCGAGCCCTACCGAGTTGGCGGGGCGGAAGTCCGCACTCCCGGGCGCAGCTGCAGCCGCCCTGCCGCGGCTGGTCGCGGACGGCGCCCGGCTCCGGACCGCGGCTGGGGCATCCCTCAGCTCCCGGGAGCCCAGGAAGCCCCCTGCCCAGCGGGCTCAGAAGTGCCTGCTCCCGCTGCCCCGCGTCCGCTCCGTGGCGGAGCAAAGTTGTGGACGTGTCCCGATAGCCGAGCCGGGGGCTGTCGCGACCGCAGGGTCGGCGCGCTCTCGCAGCGGCGCTGACACGCCAGCTCCGCCACCGCCTCGCACCCTGAGTCGGCCCCTTCTGGAAACTGCTTCTGCGGCTGAAACTTTGGGGCGAGGGGCTGCGAGCGGCTCCGCGCGGGGACGAGGCCTGCCGGCGCCCCTCCGCGCGGACTGCCTGGGCGCCGCGGACGGCATGTGACGGCCCCGGCGGCGGCCGTTGCGCGGGAAGGCGCGGGCCCTGCGGGCTCTGGCCGCTGCGAGGAGGGGCTGCGCGGCGGCCGGAGAGAAGGCTGTGGTGCGCGGCCGACCCTTGCGGGCCCGGGCCCCGAGCCGTGCCGCCCGGCGCGCCCGGGCCCCGCCGAGATTCGTTGCGCCTCCGCCTCGGCGCTGGGGCATTCGCCCCAAACTCCCTGAACTTCAGGGGCAGCCCCCGAAGCGGCGAAACTCTCAGGGACCCCGCCGACCCCGGGCGGCGCCCCTCGACGACCTCCCCGCAACGAACCCCGGCTGGCCAGTGCCTGTATTCGGAGGGCCTCGGGGGCCCGGCCGGAGCTGACCGGCCCCACCCCGGGGCCAGGCCACGATGCTCATGAGGAAAGTGCCGGTCTTCGTCCCGGCCTCCCCGTGGGGGCTGCGGCTGCCGCAGAAGTTCCTCTTCCTTCTCTTCCTCTCGGGCCTCATCACCCTGTGCTTCGGGGCCCTCTTCCTGTTGCCCAACTCCTCTCGCCTCAAGCGCCTCTTCCTAGCCCCCCGGACCCAGCAGCCTGGCCTGGAGGTAGTGGCCGATATCGCCGGCCACCCTCTGGCCCGTGAGCGGGAGTCGCCTCCCAACCCGGCCCCCGCCGTGCCAGCCCCCGGTGAGGACGACGCCAGCAGCCAAGCCAGTACCCGCCGCCGGAAAGTGTGGCTGCGGCGCACCCACCCCACCGGGACTCGGGAAATGGCCACGGCGGCCAGGAGCAGCGGCAGCACCGCCCTCAGACCCCAGGAGGGGGGCATCCCGTTTAGCTTTGACTTCAACGCGTTCCGGAGCCGCCTCCAACACCCGGTCCTGGGGACCAGGGCAGATGAGACTAAGGAGCCGCAGAGCCTAGTTCGAGCCCAGCGGGAGAAAATCAAGGAGGTAAGGACTCTCCTCCCCCGGAAAAGGAGAAGACCCTCCGTGCTTGCGTCTGCTTCTCCGGGCCCCAGTCACTTCTGGTCCCTAGACTACTGCTCTAGGCCCTCACGGGACACTGCACCCTCCTCTCTCCTCCCAAACTTTCCACCTTCTCCTCAGTGGGCACTTTCCCACTGCTGGGTTTAGTTAATCATCCCCACCTCTGACAGATGGGAGCTGAACCACTGGGTCGACTCTCCCCCACCCTGAATCTGGTCTTTTCAGTCAAGTCCCCAACCCGGATGGGCTACACTCTGTCCCTTTGTGGAGTTACTAGTTAGCTTCATTAATGGACACCCACTCCGCCTGCCATGGGGCCAAGGGCTGCATTCTTTCTCACTGTATGTCCTTAAGCCCTGACTTCCCCCAAACCCCTGTAGGATCTGCTACCTGGAAATCCAGGATATGGGAATGGGGGGGTGGTATTTTGCAAGTATTTTGTAATCTAGCCAGCAACCTACAAACCAGAGGGTGTTGTGCATTCTTGCTAACCATTTCTGTTGAGCTTTGAAACACTTCTACATAAGGGCATGTGATGTAGGAAGGAGTGATCAAGAGGGCGGTGGTGATGTTACAGAAGCTCCGAGGTTATTGGCTTAATGAAGCAGGTCTTGGACTCGTTGCCCATAGGGACTGTACCAGGGAGGGGTTTAGAAGGATCACTTTGAGTGTCAATCTTGGTCTTAGTTTAAGAAACGAAAAGCAAACGCAGCCTCACCATGGCTTGAAGACTGTTGCCAAGCCACGTCTGGTAACTAAATATTCTGCTCTACCACTATTAGAGCTGCCTCCCTGAGGTTTTTGCCCAGCAATGCAGAGGGGGCTGCAGTGACACCTCCAGGCCACGAGGGGGCTGTGGGCAAGCTGTAGGCCAGGGTCTCCTCCCTAGAAATGAGAGGATGCATCCCCCACTCCCCATGGACCCAGAAGGAAAGGGTGGTTTCCGTCTGGACTTCGTGGTTTGCTGCAAAGGAGTCAGCCGGCCTGACTTCCAAGGGGAGCTGGCAGCAAGGATCGGACCTGACCTGCCAGGATCTACTCAGAGCCAACGGAGAGCTTAGCTATCCCTCTCTCCTTGTCTGGGACTATCCCCCATCCCAGTGTTCACCTCTGCCTTACTTCTTACCTCTGTTGGTACCCAGCCCTTCTGTGATAAGCCCTGTTGGGAGACTCTATCTTAACTAGCAATGACAGGTCATTTTGTGACGTCAAGATTGGAAGCCACAAAGACGAGTCCCTGTTTTGTGCATGTGCGCACTCTCGGTTTCCAAATTCTTGTTGAAATCTCAAAGATTAATTGAAGGCTGGAACTTGCAGTAGCTAAGAAAGGGACATCATTGCTCCCTTTTTGGTTAAGAACTGTGTTTTTGATTACTTACCTGAAGCTGGTTCTGAGCACATTAGCCCTTTCTACCTTTTTATACCTCCCCAGAGGGCAGTCACCCCCAGTGAAATTATGTATAAACTGCATGCACGCAGTTTCCCATGGGGTGTCCAGAGCTGCCATCATCTTTTCAAAAGGATCCCCCAAACAATTAAGAATTAGCTACTGTCCTCTTCAGAAGAGGGGCTTTCTGCACTTGCATCGAGATCTGTGACCTATTTCTGAAAGCCTGGGGTTGGGAACCATGGTAGGAAGAGTGGGCTTGCTAGGGAGGACTTGGTTCTGCCCTTCCATAACAGACAGCCTCCCTTGCTGGCCGAGGCTGCTGCTGCAGGGTGCAGCAGCTAGGGGGTGGTGGGAGGTGTGGAGATGCTGCTGTGTAGGGGGTGGTAAGATAACATGGTGGGTGAAGGTCTGCCCTGGTTGCCACATGTCTGGATCATTCAGCCTGGCATCTCTGAGCACCCCTGGTAGTAGCTGGAGGCCTGCTTGCATTTATCTGCAATTGGTGTTCAATGAGCCCTCTCTTAGTATCTTGGAGACCTTCAATTCCTCAGAATGGAGGAGGCTGAACTATATACACTATTATATTTCGAAGCCTATTGTCTCTTCAGGCTCCTTGAGTTTGGACCCCCCGCCTTTCCAAGCAACCTGAAAAACGCGAGGCAGAGTTTTTGGTTTAGCTGTTAATACAGAGTTGCCTTCCCTGGCGTCCTGCCTGATAAGGAATGCATAGGACTATGGCTGGAGGATGTCTTTATTTCCTTCTCATTTAAATTTGTATCTGTGCCATGCCCAGGGGTAGATCATTTTAGAAAGGTGCCTGTTTTCATAAAAGGGACTGTTGCTTCCCTCTCTGGCTTGTTTATTTCCAGACATGGATTGATTAGACCCCAGGAGCAGAGGGGGAGCTAGCATCAGATAAAAAGGGCTCTGTTCTTATAAGATGAGGTTTTTAAAGTGAAAGTAAATGTCAAGAGAGATCCAGAGAGGGTGATAAATGAGAGTGAATGAAGACTGGACACCTGGGCTCTAGATCAATGAAATATATTTATAAACATTCTGATTTGAGAGATGAACATGGGCATGAGGTCTGTGCTGATAAGATGGGTTGAAGCTGCATGTTCTGGGTGAACATACATCAGGAAAAAATCTGTCAGTAGGACCAACTATTTCTTCTCACTTTGCAGCCTTGGAACCTTGGAGGAGGCAGTGTGATGGAAAGGGGAAAGCCAGAGACTGTGGGTTCAAGTCCCAGCTCAGTTATCAATTGTCTGACTTTGGGCAAGCCACCTGCTCTCATCCCTGGACCTTATTTTTCCTTCTGTAAAATGGAGTGAGGGAGGGGAGAGTAGGGTGGTCACGTACACTCTTGCTCCCAGACCTGCCCCAAGCAGCTGCCAGTCTGGTCAGGGACTCCTTAGCAACTGGGCTTTTCCCAGCTCTGTATTCAAGGGTATTAGTTCCATGAAGTCAGAGACAATGGTGTGTTGTTGTTGACAATGGTGGTGGTATTCACTGTTGTATCCCTGGCACTTAGTCAAGACTAGATAATCATACAGTTGATTAAGTTAATTACTCCCATCATCCATATGGAACTTTAGAGACGGGATTGAACCATGACAGATCCTCATATTGGGATCATGAAGAGTAAAGGAGTTGGCGAGAATGTAAAACAGCTTGCTAGCAGCCTTCCCTTTCAGATCTGATGTTAACATAGGAAATTATTGTCATGATTATTAATTATAGGGGACCTTTGCCATTGGTGGATTTCTTACAGATTCAAGTTCAGCAGACTCTTCTCATTCATGACAAGAGCTGGGAGTGTATAGCTGGTCAGGGTTACATCCCAGTGAAAGCATTCAGACTCTCCTGGGTCCTCGATGGTTGATAGCTGACCAGGAGAACCTCAGTTGTCCCTTCCAGTGAAGGGGGTTTTGTTATGGGGAATTGAGCAGTCTGGGACATTGAGAATATAGTACTGGAATGAGGCTGCCCCTGGCAGAACATGGGTTGAATTTCCATCCCCATCCCTGTGCACCGCTGTATGTGGCAGTCCTGCTAAGAATCCAACCTGGGTTCAAGTCCTAGCCACACCATCAACTTTGACCTCAAAGAAAAATTCCAGTCACTGGGCCTGTTTTCCTGGTAAAACAAAGGGACTGCCATTTAGGGAACTCTGCTCTTTTCCTAACTCCCACCCATTTACTGGTTTGTTTATGGTTCTGCCCAACCACCTAGAAAAGGGTCAGACACCTAGTTGGAGCTCAGTTACTTGAATGAGTGTCTGTAGTGAAGATCTGTAAGCTGACAGCTGAAGTTGCTGGTGACAGAGGCTGGGTCTTCTTCCTGAAGGTACCCGGAGTTCTAAGTGTCAGAGGAAGGGCCATAGCAAGGTTGGGGACTCAGTTGCGGTATTATTCCAAGTGCAAGTCTACCTGGAAGGGAGTAGGGAGGTGGCAGCCATGAGTAAAATCTTTTCATGCCTGGATAGCAGGCGTCTGGAGGATGCCCGAGTCACCCTGTGGTGCCTGAGACTTGGCAGGGAGTGCCCCAGCTCTTGCTTTCTATGCCCTGCTGCCTTAAGCCTGCAGAATATTGCTGGTTATGATACGTGACTATGTCTGAGTAAGTCGTCTTGGCAGATGATCTTTGCTTGCCGTTAATGGGCTGGTTCGTTAGTCATGTGTGGTTTCTCTGTATATCCGATTTATCACCGCTAGTGCCATGGACAGGTAGGAAAATTAAAAGGCTTTGTGTTCTTTGTAGCATGTGAATCTGAGCCTGTGAGATGTTCAGGATAATTAATATTAGGAACACCTTAGATTTAAATAGCTTTCCTTTGAAGAGCTCGGTTTAAGTTGCCGATTCATCGAAGATCTTTTTCTCCCCTTCTCCTTCAGTTTCATTCTTGTCCTGCTCTATGATACATTTAATGTAGATAGGAAGACTGGCCTGTAATAACTGGACGGGTCCCTTGGGAGACCCTTCCATCCTGAGCCCAGTCTGAGCCCAGCCTGAGCCCAGCCGCACCTCAGCCTTCCTCCTTGGAATGGAGTACCGCAGTATAAAGTTTAGAAATTGCGCCCGCCCCCTGCCCCGCCCCACTGTACAAGTTTAACCTGCAGATTGGTCGGATCTCTTCTTTCATTTTGAGTTGTGTTAACATTTGGGGGAATCCGGTGCAGACATTCCACAAGCAATTGCCTTTTGGGCCTCACATCCTTGACTCTGTTGTTAGTGTTAGGTCTAGAAACAGTGACTTTTAAAAGTCAGTTTATTTCACACTGTAGTTAGCAGAGGGGTAAGAATATAGATTCCCCTGCGGTTTTCAGAGTGACTGATTTACATCCGAGCTCAAGAAATGCTTTTTCTCTAGCTTTCCCCATAGACTGATCCATTACTCTACCAAAAATAAATATTGTGATATATATCAAGCATACTTTGCTCAAAGGGACTTACATCTTTTCTCTTATTGAAAAAAATAAATCAGGTTCACAAATTGGAAAGTCCCATTCAGGGAAGCAGTTTGATTATCTCAGTGGGCACCTGGTCTTGTGGGTATTGCCTCTGGTCTTCC